TGTAAAAAAAGATTATTAACCTTCATGTTGTCTCAACGATTCGTTTTAGAGAAAACATTTTTGACGCTCAAATTGCTGCCAAATGTCTGACATAGCCTTCAACCTTGTTGGAGACTCTTGAGACTTTTATTCACGATTTGAGAAATCCATATCCTCGGTGTGAGAGTTGGTATTCAGTTGCATGGACCAATTACTTGAATATATAAGGATGAGACATTGATTTCAGTACTACTACCTGTCATACTCTTGCACCAAAGAATATTCTATATCAAATGAAATAATCATATTTATTCACTCAATGAACCAGAAGCGTTGGCTCATTTGTGGTAACAAAGCAACCAATTCACTCCCCAGATGCGCAGATAAGTAATCATAGTGTATTCATCACTATTATGAAGCGAAAAACGATTTTCATCTCGTATCGCAATATCCTTATACATTTCTCCATGTATTCTGAACTCTAAAATGCAGTTACACATTAAACAAATTCAGTATCAATTCATAATGACAGTGTTAAATCGATTTTCGGCTATAATTGCACGAGTGCATAAAAATTACCAACAATTTTGCAAGATAGGCTGTTATCTGAAAATTGCAAGTTTATTTTCATATTTGGGCGAAAGAGTCCGAGTCCGAAGGAGGAGAGCTTTTTTACAAAATGTGGAAATAAACGAATGCAATTTTTATAAGATAACACGCTTGAATGCAAAATTGTCTGGTCATTTTTACGCACGAATCTAATTCATTGGAATATTTCCCGAAGTAAGGAATTCTGACTGTTGATTTTGGTATTTTTTGGTTAACTTTCATTTATACTTTCATTTATACTTTCCTAGATAGATTGTATGGAGCACTCACATTTTTAACACTTCTTGAAGTCCATCTGACATTTATTTGTATAGTTTACTGGCGTCTAGCGACATGGCTTTATGAATGTGTTGTTATGGCGACGGGATCTCTTCGTAGTGCAATCTTTGCTCTGCAGTGCAATTACCGATATATGAGGGAAATATTCACTTATAATACTACTAGAGCTTCAATTATCATTATAATATTTCCCTCATATAGAGTGGGTCGTAACTATCGGGACATAGGCTAAGGGCGGATTGTTTGGACCAGAATATGACGATAGATTTAAATATGCCTTGATGAAATATTGCTGTGGAAATAGAAAGAGGGCGTTTCAATCGAGAACGTATTGACTATAATCTCGCACCAAAATTCATTCACTGCCAAGAAATATCATTCATCAGAAACCAGCATCTGACCGTACAGAGCACACTCTTTATAAAAGAACTAAGTAATATTTGAAATCCGCTTCCGAAATTTTGAACTATTCAATTGCGTTTTTCTCGAAAACAAATAAAAATATCATGTCCAAAAAAGAGTACCAATATTACGTAGAAATCATGTTTATATTATATTCTCTGATCGAAATCATTAAAAAAACTTTCGTCAAGAAAAGTTACCAGTCGATTTCATCATCAGGAATCATTCACGTGGAGCCCCCTGTAACATACTGTAGAATTATAGTCAAAATAATATTCCCTGTACACATGTGTGCCTCTGTGCCGATTTTGATAACTATTGATGGAAATACAATGATATTATAAGCAAAAACCGAAAAACAAAATTTACTTCAAAGCACTTTGTATCTTTTTCCACAGCACAGCACAGCATTCCACATTCAGGACGTCCATAGGACGTTTGAATTTGGTACCGTGGACGTCCATTGGAGACGCACAAGGGTCCCACTTGAGAACCAACTAGCGACGTCCGTGAGGAATGACCCTGGGACAACTATCGAATACCTAAATCCCACAGTATTCCTCATCAAGCACTACAGAGGACATCCTTAGGACATCCATAGGACAACCTATCAGCAAAGCTGAGGGATATAAATTGGATGTCCATAGGATGTCCCAGGGACGTACGAATTATTCTTGAATTTGAATTTTTCTGGGTCCCTCTAGGACCAGATCTTGATAGGACATCCAGTTGAGTTGATGGTTCGTCGAAGGTCCCCAAACAGTTCCCCAAGGATGTCCAATGGACGTACGTGAAGGACATTGACGGGGAGTACTTATAGCCTACGAGCATTCATTTGTCGGCGAGGAGTAAGTTGACGTCCTCGCAGGGACAACAAATTGAAAGAACCGACTGGGACGTCCATAGGACGTCATTTCTAGGACATTGGAAGGGTACAGTTCATGTACCAATTGGGACATCCGACGAATATCCCTAAGCGACACTCGAAGGATGTCCCTAAGGGACATTTCGATTGCTATACGATCCAGGAAATATTAGGGGCGTCTGTGCAGACATATTTGAAGGAATGAACCATCAGGGAAATTTCATGATTGTTTAGAAGGGACATTTTATAAGATCTGGAGTCATGCCAGAATATGTACTATTCGGGACATCCGATGGATGTCCCTAAAGGAACGTTCAAAATCATATCCCATCAGGGACATGCCAAGGACGTCCTTGCATGGACATTCTACAATATGTACCACGTGGGACGTCTGAGGGATGCTATTTCTAGGACATTTGAAATGATGTACCAGCCGAGACATTCCGTGGACGTCCTTGCTCGGACATTGCATGAGATGTACGGGATGGGACGTCCCAAGGACACTTATTTTTGGTTCGGGATTTCATGCTGTGCTATTAGGGTTATTCCCATCGCCATATTTTGGTCCAAACAGCTCAATTTTTCAATAGTTATGACTCATCCTGTATATAAAATGTCTCATAAGAGCAATGCAATTATCGAAATCGAAAATTTCAGCGGTAATTACACTGCAGAGCGGAGATTGAAATGCGAAAACATCCCGTCGCCATAACAACACATTTGGAATCGTATCGCTAGACGTCAGTGAATGAGACAAATAAATGTCAGATGACTTCGAATAGTGAAAATAATCACATACAATCTAAATGACTTATAGCACAAATTTTATATATATTCTTTGCCAGTTTTATGATAATTCTCCAAAAAAATAACGACATTTCTTCGAGAATTTCTTCATTCTCGAATGGAGATCCGATAACTTGGTAGATTTCAATGCAAACGAAACACAAGCATATGCTTTTCTCTAGTAAAGCCGTTCGCACTGTGCCCAACATAAGCTTGTCAGGGGTAACTATACCTTTCAAGACATCCATTTTGATGCTTGGAATAACTATCAGCAATAACCTTTCTTGGGAAAATCACGTGAGATCAATTGCTGAAAGTGCATCCCAAAAACCTGGTTTTCTGTTTCGGGCCAGGAGCTATTCTGTTTCCAGTCAGCTGCTTATGATCTATAAGGCACAGATCCGACTTGTCCTGGGATACTGTTCCCATATTTGGAGTGCAGCACATAAACATACCCTGAAACTGTTGGATTCTGTCCAAAAAAGGGCAATTCGTCTCGTGGGTGATGCCTCGCTCACGAACTCACTCACTTCTCTGGAACACCGTAGACAAGTTGGCGATCTGGCCCTATTTTATAGATATTTCCATGGTCGATGCTCTTCTGAAATATCAACAATTGTTCCTCCATTGGCAGTCTCCGCGAGATTAACCCGTCGAGTTGAGGCTTCGCACCCTTTCGTGGTCACTTTGGAGACCTGCAGAACATCTCTTTCCGAAGACTCGTTCATCCAACGAACAGCGAGGCTCTGGAACACATTGCCAAGTGAGGTGTTCCCCGAGGCATATAACCTTCAGAAATTCAAGAAGAAGACCAATTCCTACCTTATTTCCCTTGGTTCTCACGATGTTCTCTGAACAGCACAGGATATCCCTCTTCGCGGGAACCAGAACATAAAAAAATATTACAATGAATTACATTCGTGCACAACAATGACCAGATGGTTTTGCAAAGAGCCCTCCTGCTTCGGACACGGGCTCATTTGCCAAAATATGGAAATAAACTCTTGCCATTTTTAGATAACACGCTTTCTTGCAAAATGTTCGGTAATTTTTATGCACTTGTGCAATTATAACCGAAAAGACGAGGGAGAGTTTTCTAAATCTTCGTGTTCAAGAATGAAAATCTGTTTTTAATTGAAGCTAGAATTCGGTTAGTAAATTCCACACCGAAATATAATAATTGAGATTTACAAGGATAAGATAACGCTTAATGAAATACAATATACCGACCTTAGTTACGCGAAATCTTAATAAGACAGTTGGTCTGGTGGCAGTTCAAACCACTTTATACTCTCGAATAAATTAATTTCACTAAAGAAAATATGTTTTTCCACCACTAGCTGTTGAACCTACCAGTACCTAACCACTAGTCAATATTGACATAGCCACCTACCTCTGTTATAATAAGGATGTTATAATTAACCCAAATTCATTGTTCTTATGCGACATTCAATTGGTATCGGATGGCATAATTCCTATCTCGTTATCAAATCGCGAAATCGAGTGCAAATTTCCGTACAGGAGAGTGCAATTTTTTAATCCTTTTGCGCCGTCAGTTTCACCAACCCTGACCTCAAGTTTCAGTGGCGCGTTTTGGTGAAAAAAAAATGTTAACCCTCATTGAGATGAAATAATTACACTATAATTGTAGCTCTTACTTGAAGCTGATATGTGCTGAAAAGTTTCTCAGATTTTTCAACAGAAAATTTAGAGGAAAATACAGTCTGTGCGGAGTCGAACTGTCAGACGACGAAATCGAAGAATCAAGAAACAAGGACGTGATATACATGACATGGCGTCTGACGCGTGTGTTCTTTCTGCGCATGTCTGCGTCACACTCACAGGTCACAAAGATGTCTTATTTGAATATCATTGCGAATTATTCAGTTATCGTCGATTAGATGTAGTTTGATGAATGTCCATGCCACATATCACATATTTTTCTGGTTGTGATGGTATCTAGTGACTTGTTATACATCACACTTTTGTTAATGTCGCACGATGGTTGGATCGAGATATAGAGACCGCCTAATGCACAATGAAAATTATCTTGATATTTTCTTCATGAATTCTATTTCAGATGCGTTGCTGGAGAACACGTTACGGCGGAGAGTCCATGGATGTATGTAAATAAGGAGAAAATACAAGATAATTTAGAATTACATGAAGAAAGTTCAGAATTTCTGCCATTGAAGAAAGAATTGATTGAATACCCTAGGAGAGATGTATTGATAGGTAAATTTGTTATTTCCACTCGAATTTCACCCTCACTTATAACTCAAAAGTATTCAATTAAAGTGTTTTCTCAGTGCATGTAATGAATTCAGGCCATAGATTGAGGGTCGGTTGCATAAAGCCTTTGAGAGACGATCAAATATTCAATTTGTTCATATCTACGGCGATCAGTCACCGCCAGCCCGTTGAATTCAATATGGTAGAAATATGATACTTCACTTCACCTTACATGCGCAAGACTATACGTTGCTATGGATATCAACAAATTAAATATTTATTCGTCTCTTAAATGCTTATAATGTAACCGGCCCTATATCACACCAAAGCACAATTAGATACGATATTTACTGATTTCCGCGAAGCATTTGACTAAGTTAATCACGACATTTTCCTATTACCAAAACTTAGTAAATTTGGACTGTCAGAAAAATTTATGATGCGAATTATGAAAAGTTACTTGAAAAACAGGTTTTCGGTCGTGAAGCTCAATGGAAACACCTCTGGAAAGTTTCATGCAAATTCTGGAGTGCCACCAGGGTTCAAATCTAGGACCCCTGTTGTTTGTCTTATTCATCAATGATCTACCGTCATGTATTAACTATTCAGAATGTCTGCTCTATGCAGATGACCTCAAAATATTAGAGCGCATACAAACTGTGCAAAAAATGTTATTAACTTTGAATATCAGATGGACAATGAAGTGTTAGCACGGAAAATCGAGGTTAGAGATTAGGGATTAACATATAACAATACTTTTTCATTCACGAATCATATTTCTGAAATAGGGATGCAAAACGTGCTTTAGGATTTTCGATTAGACAAACTCATTGCTTTTATAACGTGGATATCATAAAATTACTTCATAACAGCTTGGTAACAAGAAACTTGAATTTGCTTCTGTGATATGGTTAGGAGGAAACAAAAGAATCTTGGAAGAAATTGGAAAAATAGAAAATAAATGCCTTAGAATCCTCAGATGATTGTATTCCAAAAACAATCACGTATGGCCTGACTATAATTGTCCGTACAGTACAACTGAGGAAGGAATTCAAAATCTTAGCCTTAGAACAAAGAAGAAACCTATTAGCAATGATGATTGTCCATTTCAGAGCTCAACTAACAACCATTATGCGCTTAACTGATAATTTCGATGGAATTTTAAACCTGGAATGAACTTTGTCTCAATCTGCCTCCAATATCCACAAACCGTAATCGTATCCTTCACCATTTTCTTTCAATGGTGTGATTATCCCATTTGAAGTGGGAGTATATAATATAATAGAAAATATCGGGGAGTTCAGTCAATCGGGCTACATGCAAACTACTTTATTGATTGAACCCTCTGATATTTTCTTTCATATCGTAACATAATACTGTCGATAAACTATTCAATAGGAAGTAGAATATATAATTATAGGTTCTTCACAAACCTAGAATAGCCTTTTGGACATGTCGAAGGATTTGTGAAAAATCTTAGGGCACAGGCAAATCCACTGGATATATCAGATGATTGTCAAGCCAATGATCACACCTTCACAGCGAACGGCGCAAGCAGAGCTCTCTAGTATACACATACCGACTAGTCTGGCGATCACTGATGAGGCCATCAGTACCACACCATTGGCAGCTTTGTGAATGTTTTTAGAACTACCTTCTCTCCACATCTTTCTGAAGAGTGAGGCTAGATGGAAGACATACAGAATTCCGCATATTCAAAATTGCACAAATCAGGTTTATAAAGAGAGTAGCAGACTACTGATGGACACGAAAAGTCACAGCATTCTGGAAATGACCACTGACAAATTCCTTCAATAGTTTCCTGTAACCTGCCTTATATCTTCCTAATTCTAATTAGAGATAACTGGTTTCCCAGAAAGAAGGACTTACTAGGCACAAACAACTGTAGGTTCACAAATGGTTCAAATACACGCTCAGACTATGGTGCGGGTGTATACGCTCGCAGACTCAGAACAAATATATTATGGTATCACAGGCAGAAATTCACAGCATTGATTCATGCGTGGAGAAGGGGAGAGGGAATCAACCTCACACATAAAACAATCGAAATATTCTCGGATAGCCGAGCGGCTCTGAAAGCAGTCGGATCGTAATGATAAACGTCTAAATTGGTATTGAACTGATGGAAAATACTCTTCGTAATAGGAATTCTCAAGTTATTTCATTTGGTCTGGATCCCTGACCACTCCGGTGAGGAAGGTTACGAAAAGGCTGAACCCCTCGCAAGAGAGAGTGCAGCAATTGGTTTCATCGGATCAGACTGGTACTGGTGGGGGACGTTTGCACGTCAGCAACTTGTCCCTTTATGCAAACCCCAAAGTGTTTTCAATGACTGATGTGGTTCGCTCAGGACAGCTGGCTAAACATCCTTTACAGGCACCGCCCATCAGCTCTCTTTCGGCTGTGTTTTGTAGGCTAGTAATGTACTCACTACCATATGCGCAGTGGCAGGCCTGCTAGCTATCCTCATTAACCCCCGTTAGAGACCGAGGTTCACTAAGCAGCTGGCCGGCTCTCACGCTCAGCTGGTAGTTCTCCACACCCACCTACATACACCGTCCTACTTCTTCTCTGATGCTCACAACCACATCATCATCTCTTTCTGCGTGTTCTATGTAGGCTTCGTTACTAACTCCATGTACCACTTTAGGAGCAGCACTGTTAATTGTTTCGCAACAGCGAATCGTGCAGGACTATCCCCAGCCGATGCTCCGAAACTTTACAATATTTAATTCGCAAATAAAATATTGGAAAAAGTTCCTTGCTCGTGCTGGCAATCGGAATAAATGTTCTAGTTGTGATTGTTCATCATCTAATACCACAGTTCTCTTGATATATCTGAGATATAACCTATTTTATATATTTTATATATATCCTATTTTCAAATTATTGAGTTTCCATGGTAACGTTAATTCCATCAATGATATTCCTCACTGCAGCTATGATGTATTTCAATCGTGCTAGAGAGGTGAAGAGGTATTCACATCAATGTTGTTGTCTCTACATATCACCAAATGATTCATCCTATGGAGAGCTCTACGAGTTCTTGTCCTTGAAGCTCGACCTGAATCAGCAGAACCATCCAGCAGCAGGAATCATCGTCATGGGCGATTTAAATCTACACAACACTGCTTGTATCGTACACTTCAACAAAACGGATGAAGCTGGACGAGAAGCCGATGCTTTTGCCATCACTCACAGCATAGAGCAGCTCATGAAGAAACCTACACGAATTCCCGACGTCAACAATCATTCAGCCAACACACTCGACTCATTCCTCACTATAAATTGAGCACCTCACATCATAGATGTACGAGCTCCACTTGGAAAATCTGATCACACACTCAATTCCCACAACCTAATGCCTATTCTTCATTCTATCAACTACTCCAGCACCCCCATATCTTGCAGACATTGTAACTCACGAGACTGTGACGGTCTCCGCATGTTGTTCTTCAAGTTTTCTTGGCATAGAGTTTGCTTCGATTCTAAGGATCCTTCACAGTCTGCCGCGGACATATCCCAAATCATCACGCTTAGAGTGGGCACATACATAACTCATTCTTCGAAAAGACCATCAGCTACGAAACTCTGGTTCAACAAGAATCATTCTAAGTTGTTGCCTTGAAACAAACAGCCTACCATCGCTAGCGCAAGGAACCTGACCTTGTGACTAGAGCAGAGTATGTTGAAGCAAGGAATAATAACTGCAGCCGAACGATAAATGCACCAAGATAATCATACAATGCCAAAATAAGATCAAAATTCATAGACTGACCCAATGGCTCCCATTCGTTTTCGTCCCTTGCTAAAGCAGTCGGAATGGATCTCCCTAATTATTCATTCCCGCCACCCACCAAAGCCGATCGCAAGAGAAAGCAACATCTTCGCGGAGATGTTCGCAGCAAATTCCACCTCGGATTCCCAGGGCAGAGTGCCGCCAGACATTTCACCCGTTGAAAGTCGAATGTCTGAAATTATTTTCGTTCGTCAACGCACTATCAGACGCATTTTGCTCGGTCTCAAGACGAATAAGTCTAATGGTTCTGATGGAATTCCACCCATTATTCTCAAAAAGTGTGCACCTGAATTGACACCGATCTCCTTCAAGTATAGTTTTTTTCATCTTGCTGGAAAATAGCTAGAGTTCAACCACTCCCCAAAGAAAGGGAACAAAAGCCTGCCCAACAACTATCAATTGCTCTGTTATCAGTCACCTCCAAAGTGATGGAGGAAGCCATCAACATCCATCAAATATCTGGAAAACTCAGAAATCAATAATTATAGACGATATGACTTTCGCCACCAAAGATCAACTGGAGATTTACTTGCTTACGTCAACAATATATAGCAAGCTTCATTAGAAAAACATGGGGAATCTGTAGCTGTAGCGTTAGTTATATCGAAGGCATTCGACCGCGTTTGGTACCAAGGACTGCTCCACAAACTACCATCATACGGCTAACCATCTCAGCTATGATATCTTTCATCGAGTATTCTTTCAGGGAGATCGCTTCATGTGGTGGCGGACGGAGTATTGTCTGATAACATTGCCATCAACATTGTTTCTACTTCATATCAATGACCTACCACTTGCCCTATCCACAGCTCTGTAGACGATAGTACTCTCCATACTGCGTTCTCTTCTAGAATTATGTTCATTTTTCTTTCTAGGAAACTAAGAACTTACGACGCGGGCAGGCCAACGTTGTAGATCTTGCGAAAATTACAGCCTGGGGAACCAACAACCTAGTTGAATTCGAAGACACCAAAACTCAAGCCCGTGTTTTCTCTAGAAAGGCACAACTGAGTGTGGCTTATATAACATTGTCTGGTACCATCATCCCCACCAAGACTCTCTCATGGGAAAATCATGTTCTATCTACCGCTTTTGTGTAGAAAAGTCGCCGACCTTTCACTTTTCTATAGATACTTCCACGGGATATGTTTCTCAGAAATATCTGCTGTAATTCCATCACTAATAATATCAGTTAGGTGAACTCGACAGGCAGATCAGTCATAACATTCTTCCGTCGTTAACCTTGAAGAATGTCGAATAACACTTCACCAGAACTCGTTCGTCTATAAAACGGCGAAGCTTTGTAATTCTCTGTGAATGGAAGCATTCCCAGAAACTTATAACCTCCAAATTATGAAAGGAAATTCAACATCTACCTTCTTTCCTCTTCCTCCCTAGGTACATATGATGTTCCACGAACATTATAGGAATTCCCTTTCGTGCGCTCACTTACTATAAAGGATCACACCGCAAGTCTTTAACTGAACTCACATCGTCAATGTCCTAGTTAGCTTGTGGTAGATTCCTACTATACGGGTAAAGAGAATTTTATGCCATTTCTGTAAATTCAGGTGTAGTCGGTTGACTTTACAGTAATCGGCAAATCTGTTTAGATCATCTTGGAGAAGACTGTAGTCTTCAATAGAAGTGATCTTTCTGTATATTTCTAGTTCATCAGCATACAGTTGTGTTTCTATATTTTTAAAACCTGATCTTATGTCATTAAGAAAAATGTTAATTAGAAGCGGACCTAGATGAGACCCTTGTGGTACGCCGGAAGTTACTGGTAAAGACTCTGATCTGCAGCTATTGATTACTACAAATTGGCTCCTATCGTTTACATAAGATGTAAGTAGTTGCATTGAGTTTCCATGTACACCGAATTCTCGAAGCTTCATAACAAGGATGGGGTGATGAACCTTGTCGAAAGCTTTCGAGAAGTCAGTGTACACTACACAGGTGGACATACCTCTTTCTAAGGACTGCAATGTCTACTGAACGAACGGAATTGAGTTTGTTAGTACCGATCTTTTGCTGTAGAAGACATGTTGATGAGGATTGATAAAACTTTTCACTTGGAAGAATACATTTTTACATATTATTATTTTTCCAAAGTGGCACAAAAGCGATATTGGCCGATAGTTGGCAACATCGTTTTTGTTTCCAGCCTTATGTACAGGCAATGAACTCGTTTATATTCAGTTCATTGTGTACAGGTACTATCTGCGCAACTTTTCAGTCTGGTGGAAGAACTCCTACTGATAGGCTTTTATTGTACATAAAAAAAAACAGTAGTTGTAATAAGCTTTCAGAGCAGGATTTAATCACCACAGGAGGAATTCCATCTGGTCCAGATCCCTTATTCATATCCAAATCGTTAATTGCATCTTAATTTTTTTTTTCGGCTGATATGTGATATATTGAAATTGTTTTCATTGTTCGCACCCTCGTGGATTAAAATAGGATTACTTTCTGATTCGGAAACGCTACTAAAGTATTCAGAGAATAAACTACATATGCCATCACTATCTGATACTTGCTTGTCATCAAGATGCATACACGCAGGTATAGTTTTATCGTTTTACTTTGTCTACCAAGTATGACCAGAAATATTTGGAATTAGTGCTATTTATGCATTTTCTGTAATCTCCATTGATCCTGTGTTTTGAGATCCTACGTAAGTTTGAGAATTGATCATAGTCTGATTGATTTCGATATTTCTTCCATTTCTTGTGAAGTTTGGCTATTCGTCTAATTAATTCTGCAGTTTTTCTGGATAACCAGGGCGGAAAGGTATTTCTCTTGATCGAGACCTTAGGAATGTGATCGATGATTATTCTTCTTACAATTCCATAGAATTCAGTTTTGCATTGTTCAGTGTTACATTTTTTAATATTTGATCCCATTCGAATTGGTCGAGTTCATTTCTAATTGTGATAAAGTCTGCCACAAAGAACATAAACTTTGTGTAAGATTTGCAGGGCAATTACTTGATAGAGGACACTTCAATATTTACGTCTATAGCTATATGATGTGCATCTTCTTTAACAAAAGGGGATATACTTCTTTGTACATCGAGTTTCATGGATTGTGAAAGTGACAAGATAAGATCCAATAGTCTATTGCTACTGTTTAGAATATCTTCATATGCTTTTCTCCTTTTTGGTGCTCTAGGACGCCCCGTGATGAATTGATCTTCATAGCAGTTCTGTAACATTTTGTTCTTCTTATATAGCACTTCAATTCAGTTATTGAAGCATGATTGGTCTGCACTTCGTTTTTTATTACATTTAAGATGCGCTGAATAGCAATTCCATGGATTCTATGGAAACAATAGAGGAGGCATTCCTCTACTCTGCCATATTCCAACCCATGTGGCTCTGCAATACTGCAGGATACTTTCGATCGTTTTCCTGTTGGTTCAGTAGTAATTAAATCCTATGAGTTGTTTAAAACCATCAACGATGTTAGCACTACTGTCATGGAGTGAAAACGGTTCCCTAAACATATCAGTGTATTGAAATTGAAATAACTTTCCACCAACACCTAGTGTCTCGCAAACGAAGCCTTCTACGACTTCTGTTTATAGGAACTTTCTTATTTTCTTGAGTGCGTCCCACATATTACGAAACACCCTGTATTGCAAACGAAGAAACTGGTACCGACTTTAAGCTTACCTCATATAGTTGGATGACTGAAAATATTCAAAGAATATTGGAATTGATGGAATAAAACAGCCCATCTGGAAAAATTTCAATTTGTGGCCTATTTGAATCACCCTGTCTGTACCCTGGTTTTTCACACTGCATTCGGAGGAATGTTATTATTATGTAATGTTCATAAGGTGTCATGGTATTTCTTTCTGAATGCTCATTGAGTGAGTGAATTTACTATAAATACTATTTATACTACTGACTAGTGCACACGCACCAGCAAGCTCATCATGTACCTAAAAATGGATGTAATAATTACTGTATAACTATTCAATGCTGAAATAAATACTCGAATGATCAAACAACTCAAAATATATTGCATACTATCATTATTCGAAATTTCTACCGAGATGAGTCTTGTATCAACATTTCTCTGAATCCAACATATATCAATTCCTACTAGTTGCCAGTACTTATTTTGTGTTTCGAACGATTCAAAAAATCAATGGTGCATCTTTCTTTATACTTTCTGTATGATCTTGTCACCTATAACTATTTTACAGGTTATATTCCTGATGAATCCAGGGAATACGAAGAATTTTATATATGTGTCACAGAGGAAGCCACTGAAACAGTCAAAAACATTATCGAGAAAATGAAAGAGGAACAAGAAGAGAGGCTATACAATACAGTCAATAAGAGTATCAAAAAATGGTAATCAGTATTCGGTTCATCTATTATTTTTCGAATCTACTCATTTAAGTAGGTAATTATATCGAGTGAGGTATTTCTGGAAAGCTCTTCAAAAGGACTTTGCAATGGTGAAGAAATGGTGAAAAAATATACCAATATGAAATTCATATACTTCTTGCTGCTTCCTGTATACTTTTTCAGATAGTAAAAATGTATTTATCGATTCGCCAAGGAAATTAGGCTTTATTTATCTTTTTCCTACTGTTGGAAATTGAAGATTTGCAGGGGATGATACTTTCTAACGTCACCTGATACAAGTTGAGACCCTATGTAAATTCTCCAACATTTTCCAGGTTCTCTCAAGGTACAGAAGAGGAAGTTGATGAGAGTATAATAAAAAATAATCGGGCTCTCCTGGAAGTTGAAGTGGAGTCTCAATACCCAATTTTTTCTCCTGAAGTTCAGTTTACAACTGTGAAAGCTGAGCAGAGAAGAGATGGTTACATGGAATTGAGATATTTCGATGATCAAGCTACCAATGTATGTATTGTTTCACGTTGAACCGCGCGAGATTCGTAACTATTCAACCCTATCGCTCACGAATTATTAACATAAATCTGTGTATTCTGATTGAGTATCTAAATTTTTCGCATTTTCCTTCAATCAGAATAACAGGTTGAAGCTAAGTAAAATGATAACGATGAGAATCCTCTCGTGGAAAATATTCAATTATAGTCGGTTTTGGGGGTGCGTTCCAAGATATTAGCAAAAATCAGCGACAATTTCGCACTTTTTCAAGTTTTTTTCCTTAACTTGGAAACTATCCATTCCATCGAGGAGACCACCCTGAAGAATATGAAAGTAGGTAAAATTCTCTAGATTGTTTCTGCTCATGGATGTAGGACAGTACTGACGGGTGAGGGGCTAGAGCATGTTGAAAATCAACCAAATTTGCGTACTTTGCAAAAAATAGTATTCATATTACACATATTTCTAGGAAGAATGCATGATCCACAAATTGAAAGGGCTTCTGATTCAGTGAAGAGCTCATATCTCATGTTGAGTTCGCTAATATACGAGAAAGTTAAACGGATGTTAGAGCCTTGGACTAGGAGACGTATATTTCCGTCGTAGTTTCCAGAAAATCATCGTTCTCAATATATTCGATTTTATTTATTCATTTGTTTTTGTATTCTGTGGGGTGGGATGAAAGGGACATGTGCGATTGATTATTAGGTGTTAAAATATATTCCTGCTGCAGGTTACCCTCATCCTCTATCTGGTTTTCTGGAAGAGAATTGCATAAAAATTACTATAAGTAAATAATCTGAGGGTTGGGTTCTAGCACAGTTTCTGATTCCATAAACTGTCGCCTAGCCTAGCCTCGTTGATCACTCTTTCTAGAGTTATCGAGTCCCCAGCTGTTAATTTTCATTTCCGTAATTCAATTGAGTTACCTGCATGCATAATAAGCAACAATTAGTTCGTTTTAAAACTACTATTGTTTAACCCCCGATGAGGCCAATGCATTAGTTCCTTTCAAATTTTATAGAGGTAGGTATGTATCTATGATATTTCTACTGAAACAAATCGTGAATAATTCATAAGTAATATTGACTGCGACTCGACTGTACAAAAGTGTGATGCAGATTAATTGACTAGACTTGAGTCGTGAATGGCCTGGAGAAAATAGTCACTCCTCCCCAAGTCTTCTTTTCACAAATCACCATGTAATTGATTACAAACTCACCTTTTTTCACTATTTGTTCGATTAAATTTTGTTCTATATTGAAAAATTTACATTTTTCTGCCTCAAGTCTCAAGGGAGATTTCCCGGTTTCTTCTCCTTCTTCTCATTTCATTAGGCGAAAAACGCGTCATAAACTCCCCTATGTTCTTGCTTCGAGAAGGTTTCAATACCGGCAGCTTCGATGTGAATAGAAAACGCTCTTTTCCATTTCTCCCAAAGAAGGCCAACTGAACGAATGTCTGCTTCGACATCGAATTGACTAATTTTACAGTTATTTTGTTCCATCACGTCTAGGAAGGTTTTTTTCCTAATTTAAATTTCATTTCAGGTGTCGCAAACCCATAATGGGGGTCTTATGTTGAAAGATCATCGAATTGGTCAGGTTTCATTAGACCACGTCTTCTCAGCATCTCAAACTCAAGAGTGCCGTTGGTTTCCTCTATTTGAGCTCATGCTCTCACCTGTAGCCGTTTCAGGACCTATAGGGGTGTGTTTCATCTATGCCTATAGTATTCGGACTTGGTCCAGGTCTGTCACCCTCAGACATTTCGTCTGTTCGAGTTTTCACTAAGGTCTGTGGTCCATTCAAGACATTACTCTCTTCAACATCCTAGCTTTGGTATTTCACTCACATGTGACAAATTGAAAATATGGAATTGAATGTATTCTCAGATTCAACCGGTATTCAATAATTGCTGCACGTCACCACGTCAAGGGTTTAGTGATTCATATATGTCATTCATATTGTGGAAATAACGTTTATTTCACTCTACAAGCTAGAACTGGCGAACTAGGTTCAGGTATTCGCGATAGAAAATAAGCGTACGCCACCTATCGGAGTTCTTGAGAGCTGAAAGCGGTCTGTACTTTGTTTTCATTTTGGTTCACACTTGTTTTTTGTTTGTGCTTATTGGTCATAGCACAAACCGCTCAGAAGTGTTCCAGTTGTTGCCGTCAGATGGGGGACGTGTTATTTTCAATATTTCATCCACTCACAAATTAATAGAGAGTTGAATTGTTGTCATGAACGTTAACGTAAACGTAAAAATTGACAGCTACGCATGCGCATTTTCCAATTCTTCACGTTTGCGTTGTTAGTGGGCTTACAGGTGTACGTTATCTCACGTTCCTTCACGTATACCTTAAATATCAACGTACGTTAACCAAACGATAGGTACTCGAAATATGCCGATGAGTCAAAATTATCAAATTCGAGATCACCAACGAGTTCTGCATCAGGGAGTCCTCTAATTTTGACAGGAATAAATGTTCGAATCTAAACACACAACCAAAAATGACCAATACAAACCGAAAACAAAACGTATTATTACGTTATGATGACAGTGACGACCAAAGTGGCAACTTCAACTCAATTTAACGACAATACGTAAACGTTATTTTTCGTACGTTAACGTCTACGTGGAGGTCTACGTACAGTGATTACTTGAACTCTCTAATCAACTTCCCAGCGAACAAGAATAGGCGGTAAATAGCCGGCAATAGTTATCAGCAGCGGATATGTAACGACAGCGGCAAACCGATATCGGCAAAATGTTAGAATGACATCGGTTGTGCCGCCACGGCTTGATGTACGCATATTTGTTATGTTTGACCGTTATAGATATGTCACAATCGTGCCTCTGTCGATTCGACACTGAAGACACACTCCATTGTATAAATAATCTCATATTGTAGTATCACAATTACAATATATCTCCAGAATTCTTATGCATTTTTTTGTTGATCCCAGTAAACTATCAAGAATTATATGTTGTCTAACAATAAATATACTCGTTGTCCATCAATTCGTATTTGTGGTAATGATTTTGAGCCACATATTTGTTCATTATATTATAACGATGATGCACCAATGCAAAGTTCAGTTCTAAACCTATATTCGACAAAAATTTGATTCACAGTAATAGATCAAAAACTGGAAAAGTAATGTGACGTAACATTATCAGACTACACTTATTCTATGTCATCAAGTCATTTAAGTTATGATAGGTTCATCGCATAATCGAATATCAAATATAATTATTGCCTTGTACTATTTCAATTCTGTTCCGTCCGACAGTGGATAAAATATCAGTTTCAGTGCCGGTTCGAATCCCGACAAAACAAATTTTTCTGACCGAATACTGTCGGCAGATAGTCCGGCGGCCTACTTGTGGCCGGTACGCCACAGGCTAGCCGGGCCGACGATGTATCATGATTGTGGCCCGCTGATGTTGACTGTCGGCAGTTGTTGAAGGGCGTTAAATGGCCAGTGCGATATATGTTTGTTGGGTTATTCCAAATAATGTTAACTCTTCGCCACTGTAATACCAGGTGTAAGAGGATGATGGTACACCACACCATTTTGATGAACTTCATTACATCTGTCGCTATGAGTATATTAGTTTCGATCAGAATAGTCGTGGCACACTCAGATGGAGAATCAAAAATTGATTGAAAATCAATATTTAAGTTTGGAATGTCACTTAACCCATTATCTCCCAATGGTGCGCTCACGCACCGCAATTTTGTTATTTTTTTGCCAGCAATATAATGTTGATATCGCGAAAATCAGTCGTTATTAACTTACAGTGTTCTTATACTGTTGAGAAAAAATATATAACGTTATATCAGAGGAAAAAATCAGAATTTAGTGTACTTCGAAGTGGGGTGAAAATTACTTTGGCTATATACATTTCGTTACCACTGACAAAATGTGACTTTGGACAAATATTTTCTATCCCACTTTTCATCAATGTGTAGTCTTTTAGTGACTCAATATGATATATCACACATCAATTTGTTAAAATGAAAAATTGAAGAATTTCAGCAGTTATAAAAACATAGGTGCGTTTGCGCACCACTGGTATCTTGCGTGAGCTCCAACAATATTTCGACATGCTCAGACAAGATTTACTTAGCTGTTAGCCTAGCTCAGAATGATTCATAAACAATTCGTTAGTGGTGCGGGATAGTTTTTCGCATATTGAAGTGACTAAAAATGTCTTTCAGAAACTTTTTGACCCCAAAAGAACTACTATCAGCTTTAGAGGAAGCAATTGATGAACTAGAATTGGAGGGACATGAATATTCATATTCATATCAAAGTACAACCAATTCATCTCGTGAAACGATATAATCGAAAGGAGAAAAAAGAAGTCAATATATCTCAGCCTCATGCCATGACCGATCCATGGGAGGGACCTCCATGACAATGGTATTGCAAATTATAGATGTAGAGTGTTGGGGAAGGAATGGTGGTGGCCCATGTTTCGCAATGCTCTAGATAGTATAATTGTCAATGCTTGGAAGCTCTATAATGTGGCTAATCAAACCAAAATGTCACAAATTGAATTCAGATCATACGTTGCTCTACGTCTCTTGAAAAATGAGAGAGTATACGTTGTGAGAAATATACCTCGCCCTGTTGCTGAAATTCGTTTCCATAGCATTGGCCATATTCTTATACCCCATGGCAATAAAGCTCATGAAGATGTAGAGTTTGTCATAATCACCCAATTTATATTTGTCGAAAATATAACGAACATTTGCACGTATCATGCTTCGCAAAATATCACCAAAGGTAGATTATTTGATTGTTACTTCCTACCAGTGGTTCGTGCACCAATGAGCAAATTGAGATCACCTAGTTCATTTTCAACTCATTGGGGCCCAACTATTTTATTTTTCATTTTAGTGTATGATTATCGCTTGTCCATTAGCAATTTAATGATTGGAACTAGTTTTTCTAAAATTTAAAAAAATATTTTCCCGACTTTTCTTGCCAGTGGTGCGTGTATGAACCATCGTAATTTTTTGTGAAGTTAGTGTTTTTCATTGTCGATGATCACGAAAACTCATTTCAGAATGTAAGATAATAAATATTTTTTGTCTAAAACACATGTTTTCATATTTTTCGTATACTTGGGATGCAGAATTGGAAAATGCAATGATATACAGGGTGTTCCATTTGAAAATCAAAAGTTATTACTACTTCCGGTGAAACCGGAAGTGGAAAATAAAACATATTTATGTCAAAACATGACATTCATCAAGTTGATGGATCATTCCAAATTTCTATCACCTATCTCTATAACCAAGGGAGAAAAGGGGATGTACCATGATCCTGTTACACCCGGTATATTGGAATTGTGTAACTCAATAAAACACCCACGAACACTTTCTGATCGTCCAGACACTGATGAATCCCCTTCATTTCTACCTATCCGCATTGTGATGGTGATGATTCAATCATGTCTTTTCGATCCGTTCATTCATAATTATTACTGAATACTACAATAACTGCAAGTAGAAAGTAAACTGAGGACAATGAAACAAATATTTTGTATCTAATGAAGCTGTGGCTGATGAAGCGAGTACTTGCAAAGTTCATAAGCTGTTATCGAAGTTTTTTTTCTGTGCGATGTACTAAATTTCATGATTTTGTAATGATCGTTTTGAAAGATACAGTTGAACAACCGGTATGCCCAATTTCGAGGGCCGTTGCTCTCTTTAGTTACTTCTCCACGAATAGAGGAACATTTTTAAAAGACTTTACTTCTCAAACAACAAGGCCAACTACGTAAATTGGATGACTGGTAACTAATGCGGAAAGTTTCGTCACTAATTTTCCATTAAATCCACAATCACCTATTCATTATTGAGTAGTAGTGTGTTAGTTAGTCATGTATATCTTGTATTTCTGCCTTCCAAGTCACAGGTCGTATTCGATATAACTCTTCTCATTCAATATTACCTACCATTTCAAGGAGCATATTCCTAGAGTTTCACAAATGCCTAACCAATCATCGGGTTACTGTGTATAATATCATTTCACTTCCCACAGGTTCTGAAGAAGAGAATAGATGCCCATACCCAGGTGGCTCCTCAGAATATATCCTCAGAGGTTCAAACCATATGCACGTATCCATCCAACTCTGCAACACAATATCGCTATGAAATCAAAAACGTCGAAGAGCTTCTGAATAAATGCACCAAGAACATAATCAGTTACACAGAGGACAATTATGATCATCTTTCTGAATTACTGAGAGTAAGTAATATATACATATATGTAGTAATAGTCCATGGAATCCCAAAGTGAAGTGAATGGAGGAAGTTCTTAGTAGTAAAACTCCCTCCACAATCATTTGATAGAAATCTACACGATTTTACCTAGATTTCAGGAACTCAGACTAATAATTATTATGAACGCATGATATTGTAGGTACATACCCAAATAACAAAATGGTAGTATATATCATCATACAAGTTTTATAAGACACTTTTTTGTCGCGTAGTGCGACAATATGTCGAATAAAACGTGTGTATAATACTATTTTTTTCATTTTGCATCAATTTGCACTATTTTAACAAGTAAAAATTCGATCAAAATCAATAGAATAGAATAGAATAGAGAATAGAATAGAATAGAATAGAATAGAATAGAATAGAATAATGTTTATTCGCAATGTATAAGAAGTGTTATGTTATATACAAACCTAATGGTGAACATACATATATATAAAATTGAGGTAAGAGTATAATTATACAAATACAATACTGAAACGAAAATGATAATTGAAAATTGGGAGTGAACATTAGCAGAATAAACATGACAATCACAGAAGCTGTAGGCCAGCTTGTACGTGATATAGAAATGCATAGTGTAAGCACCTTGTGAAATTAGACTCGTTGGTAATAACTATTAACGTGTTTATTCATCGACCGTTCTCTTAATACTAATTCACAAACGATATCTTTATCATGAGTAATTCCCAAAAACCGTTGTATCCCAACTCATTGTTTAACTTATATAATAAAACCCGTCACCACAAATTCTTAAGCTATACGTAGGTTGATACATTTTACTGTATCTGTATCTGTAACCAAAATTTAATCAATATACATGAAATATATGAGAATTGTGAGGTTCTTATGTATGTCAGGATTTCCCGTTTTCGTTATTCTTAACAGCCATATACCTTTGATTTTCTTAGGACACATTTCTTAGTATCCGCTGCCCCTTTCGTAAGAGGACAATAACGCCTTGCGTTCTTCAGTGTGGTGCACTCACACTGGTCGGCTGACTCTTAGGGAAATCGTCATCGTCATCTTCGTCCTCGCTACTTTGGCGAGTGACAAAACGTTTAAGTCGCTCACTAGGACAAATACCTGTGTAACTTTTCTGGGAACGCGAGGTCCCAGGTAAATCATTTATAACATACCTGTCGTGATCTAAGGCAGCTGTTATGATATATGGACCATCATACTTTGGTAGTAACTTTCTACTATTACCATCATTACTTGGTTTATTACGTAACAGCAATACCAAATCGTCAACAGCAAATGACCGATGTATTCGTTTGCGGTCAAAATTATCCTTCATTTTGGTTTGTTGTTTGGTTGTCATATCCCTCGCTTCCTGGCGGATTTTATCGACTGTTACTGACTCAGGAATACTAATTTCCGATGCCAGAACAGAATCGTTTGTACCGTTAGGTTGATAACCAAACAACAACTCATGAGGACTTTTCCCAGTTGTTTTGTTTACGGTAGAATTGATCGACCATTGCAACTTCGGAATGAGCCGATCCCATGTGCGTTCATCATTCGAAGATGCTGACAATATTCCCAAAATCGTGGAATTGAAACGTTCCACCTGACCATTTGCCCTTGGTGTTGCTGTAGCATTCAACACATGTTTTATCCCTACCCTAGCACAAAATTCTTCGAACATCTTGCTGGTGAACGCTGTACCTCGATCTGAACTAATTCTTTTAGGCACCCCAAAAATATCAAAAATGTCTTGGAACACTTTTATTACCGGGTTGGTCTTCGTAGAAGGTACAGCCCTTGCCCAACAATACTTCGTGAATCCATCTACCGCCACTATGAGATAAGAATTTTTCTTATTGCTCGTGACGAATGGACCCAAATGATCTACATGAATGGTATGCATTGGTACATCGAACTTTTCTATTGGATTCAAAAAGCCCGACTTCTTGCCCCTAGGCGCTTTGTTATACTGGCATGCTAAACATCCAGATATATATTTACGTACATAGCTTTTCATAGAAGGAAACCAATATAATTTTGCAATCGCCAACACAGTTTTGTCCAAACCTACGTGGCAAAGACCTTCGTGATAGTAACTAACGACTTGACGTCGAGCAGTCCTTGGTACTAACCAGCGAAGACCTTCGCTTGTTTTTCGATAAATACGATTTTTCTCTAATTTATAGTTTCTCAAAATATCTTGATCCTCCCTGTCTTTAGGGGAGTTATTCTCTAAAATTTTATATATGTATTTACATCTTTCATCTGCCAGTTGTGCTGCATGAACCCAATCACCCTCACTTATTTTAATATGTGTTAGAGACACTTTCTCTCCAAATTCACAGTTTACGGGATTCCGACTCAAAGCATCCACGTGTGACATTTTTGTCCCAGGTCTATACTCGACCGAGAAGTCAAATTCAAGTGTAGTTAACCACCAGCGCCCGATGCGTGGAATCAAATGTCGTTTAGTCAATGTAGTGCGTATAGCGTTACAATCAGTAACTACTTTGAAACTAATTCCAATTAAGAAAACTCTAAACTTTTGCATTGAATTCACTACCGCTAGTGTTTCTAGTTCGTAAGAGTGATACCCTTCTTCCTGTTTGGTAGTTTGTCTACTAAAGTAGGCCACAGGCTTCAAATCGCCGTTTCTAATTTGTAGTAGAATGCCCGCGATACCATCCTTAGATGCATCCGTATGCAATTCGGTAGCTGAGAGTGGGTCAAAATGGGTCAAAATTGGTCTGTTCGATAACTTTTGTTTTAATAGTTTGAATGCCGTAGTACAAACTTCGTCCCATCTGAACACCACGTTTTGCCGCAAAAGATTACTTAGAGGCTTAGCAATCATTGCATAATCTTGAACAAATTTTCGGAAAAACCCTGTCAGCCCCAAAAATTGTCTGACTTGTTTAACATTTGTCGGTACAGGAAATTGTTCGGCCGCTACAACCTTTGCAAGGCCAGGTCGCACACCCAAACTACTGATTTCATATCCCAAATAATTGACCTCTTCTTTGAAGAAATAGCATTTAGTTAGTTTCAGAGTAAGGTTTGCCTCCCTCAAACAAGAAAATATGAGTTTTAAAGATTCTAACCCTTCCTTAAGGTTCTTAGATGGCACAAGAATATCATCCATGTACGCTAAAGCTACGGTGAAGCGAAGATTACCCAAGGCCTTGTTTATTGTTCTTTGGAATACCGAAGGAGCACACGTTAGTCCAAACGGCATCCGCAGATATTCGTAATGCCCGTCGGGTGTCACAAAGGCAGTTTTTTTGACAGAATCTTTAGCCATAGGTATTTGATGGTACCCACTAGCAAGATCTAGAGAACAAAAATATTTATTTCCATTTAGACGCTCAATTTGATCCCCAATCCTTGGTAATGGGTAATGTTGTTTGATAGTCTTAGCATTAAGACTCCTGTAGTCCACACATAAACGCGCTTCGCCCGTTTTTTTTTACAAGCAGTATTGGACTAGCATAGGGCGAATATGAATCGCGAATTATGTTATTATCTAACAACTCACCGGTTATTTTTCTAACCTGCTCCCTCTCATCATGAGACAACCGGTAAGGACGGTAGGATACGGGTTTATCATCCGTTAAATTGATATCCATCTGCTCGATTTCGGTGTTGCCTAATTCCGACATATTTGTTGCGAAACAATCTCTGAACTCATTGATAAGGGATAATAAAGCATGCTTATTTTCCTTATCTATTCTTGGATTGATATTTTTTTCAATATCTGATAAGATAAAGGACTTTCTTTCGTTAGTAGAAATAGCAAATGAACTCACCTGTACGCTAGCATCTTGTTCGCAAGCAAATCCGCGAGCTACTGTTTGGCCTGCCTTGAAGTTCAGACTATTCTCCGATAAATTCAGAACCGGAATACACCCATCTCGACAAGTTGTAATGCAATTCGGCAGAATATACTGGTTGATTTCCCACTCTCGGTAGCAATGCTCTATGTATACTTCTCGAACATCTGTCCTGTTTGAGCAAACTGCAATATGTCCGATTGTCTTGGGAGGAATCACACAGGCATCATTTGCCCATAGTGGAATCTTCCTTGGCGAACTGGCTTCCAGTTCGGCAAGAGCGGAGCTAGACGGGAATAACCTCACTTGTTTACTCTTGACAAGTAAGACTACACTATCTTGATTGATAAACGGTTGACCGACAATAACAGGAATGCTCTGTATTTCGTCAGGCACGATAAGACACTTTGTCTGTGCTACTGCCAAGTCAACCTGAAGATTTACTTCACATTCACCAACAACACTTGCCGATCCTCCACCGAACCCGTTCACTGTTATATTCGTTGGAGCCCAAGTAACACCTAATTCACGAGCAACACTTTCCTTAAGTGTAACCGCACCACTGCCGGTATCCACGTATCCTCTGACTGGTTCAGAATTTATAATACAGTCGATGAAATAACAATCATGACTAGATTCGGGCTTCTCTGTCGTTACAGTAGTTGTAACAAACGTTTTTCCTGTTTGAAAATGTTCCCTGCGTTTACGTTTGCAAGAATCATTCGTATGCCCCAGTCGTTTACAGTGGCTGCATTCAATTTTTGGTTTGACACAATGCGTAGAGACATGTCCTTTCTCGTTACAATTGTAACACCGTATGTCATTTCTTGATGGGCGTTTATTTTCCATGACCGGCTTGATTATAGAAAAATGAGTATTGTCTCTCGAACGGAAATTTCGATGGTTCTCTTTTTGGTTGCCTTGAACTGTACATAAATACTCCTCGTATAATGCTTCTGGTGTATGGAATCTACCAGCTCTTGCACCCGTCTGCAAGGTTGTATTATTCAGTCCATCAATTATGCAAGATACTGCTTTCTTGCCAGTTATTCCACAACAATTTATTAGCTGCATTTTGCAAAAATAATACTCTGTCATGGATTCGTTTGGGGACTTGACCCTATCTAAAAGTTTGCGTAACAGACATGCATAATCTTGATGTTCT